GGATGTGATGTGGGCATTTATGGCTAGAAAAAAAACGGGACTCAGTGCCTATGAAAAGAATCATTTTCTGTGGGGCTCAGGAAGGGCCTCTCACAGGGGATTTCCTACATGGGGCTCCAGGCCTTGGCTGTCTTCCCAGGGAAAGGTGGTGTTTGCCATGGAGAACTTGCACACTGCATGGCTTCATTCAGAGACAAATGGTGCCCACTCCTGTCTCTGGCACCGATAGTCTCCCTGAGCCTTGTTCAGCTGGGAACAAACATGCTCTTTCCTTGAACCACACTCTTCAAATGTCTCAATGCCAGACATTGAGATTAGAAGTGGAATAGAGGGGCATGATAGCTATGTATAATGTTGGAGTAAGGGGAAGTGAGAGCCGTGAGGGAACTATTTCAAAGGAATGGGCCCTTGGCACTGGGCTTTGGTGTGGCTCTGGGACTGCGGGCCAGCTCCAGACCAGGTCATGCGGACATGGCTATTCAACAAAGCTGGACATAGTCTAAGGCAAGGCCCCCTTGGAGAGAAGAATTTCAAAATTAAAAACAAAACCAAAAGCAAGCACAATCAACCCTCTCTCCTCTTTTTCCCACCCCTCATCAAATAGTACAGTCTATACTGTTGAAAAATCACATCTCAGGAACAGCACACACTTTCTGACAGCATCTGCCAAGATTTCCGAGGAGGCTGATAGAAACATGTCCCATTTTCATGTTGGATAATGAGTAGATGGGAGTCCTTGCATATCTGTTCAGGCAAGATAATGATAATATTATTACCAGAGGCATTGTGCTGCAAATACAATCTATTTTTTGTCTCTCCCACCCCCTGCCTATATCCTTCTCTTTCCTCTTTTCTCTTCTTACTGTGTGTCTCCCTTTTTCTCATATTTCCTTTCTTGCTCTCACCTTTCCCCTTCTCTTTTTACTTCTGTCCTCACCTAGGTGTCCTGCTCAGCTTGCAGTAACCCCAGGGACAAAGGGAGGAATTCCTTTCAAATCAGGAGCAGGGCTGCCAAGAAGGCGCTGTGGGCAGGGGTTGGCTGCTGAGATCATGAGAGAGGGGAGACTTTGAGTCCTTCCTTGCAGGCTTGGTGATTCCTACTGTAAAGAACCCTCTCCTCCTTATCAGCAAAAGTCCTTCAGCCCAGTCAGAGAAACCACCAGACCTGCCCCATGTCCAACATCATCAGCAAAGAATCAAGAGACAGCAATGCAACCAACTAATTCCTGACAACAGAAGCAAAGGGTTTAACGTTTTTAACATTTAAGACTGTTTTGCCTAATAACAGAGTACTTCTGGATACCTAACCAATTTATAAAGAAATATAATTTTAAAACTGTATAGGCACGAAGAATCAGAATGTGGGGTTGAACGTCAAGGTCAGGGAGAGTCATCCTTTTGTTTCCCAAATCATTCATTCATTCACTTATTCATGTTTTTCAACAAATATTTACTCAGTACCTACTATGTGGCAGGCAATGATGGTTACTGTCTCATAGATGGAAAGCTATGATCCCTGCCTTTCAGGGGCTTAAAGTCTACCCCAAGGTAAACTTCTACCAAATCTAAACATAACTTTGCTCCTGAATATATCTTTTATGTGGAAGCAGAATCGACTTGGGGCCTCTTCACTATGGAATTACCTTGGATATGAACATAAAGATGGAATGGTACAGGTTTCCATACTTCGGTCCATTAATCCATCCACCCAATCACCTTTCTATATAACCAACCATCCATTCAGCCATTAATCCATCTACCTTCCACCCATCGATCCACTCATCCACCCACATATCCATCCACCTACACATCCATCACTCATCCATTTGCCTATCCATCCATCTATCCTCTACTCACTCATCCATCATCCTTCCCAAGTACATGGTAAGATGTCATTTATTACTCCATCAGCAAACAGGGCATACATAACTGATTACTGTGGTAGAGAGCGGTGCAAAGACAGAATGCTGGTAGTTGCACGCAGTGTCTGTCCCTGATAATTCACAAGCGAATGGTTTCTGAACACTCAGCTGTGATTTGAGGAGCAGAGATGGGATGAATTGCAAGAACCAGTAACAAGGTTCATACAGAGATCCCTACATTTAATCAAGATAGTTTCTGAGTTTCTCTGCAGCCTAGGAGACAGCTGCTCAAAGAAGGCAGGCATGGCAGTTAAGTAACAGGGATTCATGAGTTGTGTTTTGGCTCACGAAAATCTTTCCACAGAGTTCTTTCTGTTGAACTTTTCCTCAGTGTGACAGTATACTACATCATAACAGTGTCCCTCTTATAATTACTGCTTTCTCTGTGTACATAGAAAAACTAAGGGCCAGTATTGTGGCTCACACCTCTAACTCCAGCACTTTGGGAGGCTGAGGTGGGAGAATCACTTGAGCCCGGGAGTTTGAGACCAGGCTGAGCAACATAGTGAGAGCTGGTCTCTACAAAAATTTTTAAAAACTTAGCTGGGCATGGTGGCATGCACCTGTGGCTCCAGCTACTGGGAAGGCTGAGGTGGGAGGAACACTTGAATCTGGGAGGTCAAGGCTGCAGTGAATCGTGATTGTGCCACTGCACTACAGCCTGCTCAACAGAGTTAGACCCCATCTCAGAAAAAAAAGAAAGAAAAGAAAAACTAAGGATAAGCATATTTGTGGGCACCTTAAGTTTCTAATATTCTTTCCATCAAAACATGCCTCCCAAATTAGGCTGGGCAGAGTGGCTCACGCCTGTAATCCTAGCACTTTGGGAAGCTGAGGAGGGCAGATCACCTGAGGTCAGGAGGTCAAGATCAGCCTGACCAACATGGCAAAACCCTGGCTCTACTAAAAAATATAAAATTAGCCAGGCATGGTGCCAGATGCTTATAATCGAGCTACTCAGGAGACTGAGACAGGAGAATTGCTTGAATCCGGGAGGTGGAGGTTGCAATGAGTGAGATCGCACCACTGCATTCCAGCCTGGGTGATAGAGTTAGACTCTGTCTCAAACAAAACAAAACGAAAAACAAAGATGCCTTCCAAATTAGAGGAAAACAGTGCCTGAAATCGTTCCCTTGCGTCCCAAATATTATATCCCAGTATTTTTCTGGTGTTGAGAATTCTGGCTGAAGTTTACTCATTTCTAGTGTCAAGTTCTCTCTCTCTCTCTCTCTCTCTTTTAAGTCTGTTTTTAATAATGCTCCCCTCTTCCCATCTGAAAGTCAGGTGGCACATTCATTAGTTGCCTGGAATTGATTTGTCTGTAGCTGAATGAGAGCTGGAAAGGGGAAACTGGGCGCCGTGGTCAGAGCCCTGGAGCTGTCAGGAGTCCTGGTTCCCATGCCTTACTCTGCCACTGAGTCACTAGTGGCCATTGGACAAGGAACTTGGTTTTTCTGAGTTATCGCCTGTCTGCTAAAGGATAACAGGCATAGGGTTCAGAGACAGTGCTGGGAGCAACAGACTAGGAGGGAGGAGGGCCTGTCCCTTAACCCCACTCACGAAACCCTTACTAATGGCAGCAAGTTCTGAGTCTTCGTTTTTTTGCTTCTAAAGTCAGGAAGTGGATCTACAATGTTTAAGGTAATTTCTTTTTTATTTTTTTTGAGAGACGGGGTCTCGCTCTGTCACCCAGGCTGGAGTGCAGTGGCAAGATCTTGGCTCCCTGCAACCTCAACCTCCCAGATTCAAGCAATTCTCCTGCCTCAGCTTCCCAGGTAGCTCAGACTACAGATATGCACCACCATGCCCAGCTACTTTTTGTATTTTTAGTAGAGACTATATGTTGGCCAGGCTAGTCTTGAACCTCAGGTGATTTGCCTGCCTCGACCTCCCAAAATGCTGAGATTACAGGTATGAGTTACCACACTCGGCCCTAAGACAGTTTCTAATACCTTGCAGCTTAATTCTACTCACTCTTACATTGAGCATATTTGATACCTGCAGCAGTTCTTCTTAAAAAAAATTTTTTTTATAGAGATGGGGGTCCCCTATGTTGCCCAGGCGGGTCTCAAACTCCTGGGCTCAAGTGACCCTCCTTCCTTGGCCTTCCAAAGTGCTGGGATAACAGGCATGAGCCAACATGCCCAGCCCTGGAGCAGATCACTTTTAACCCCTTGCTCTTCTCAATGAAAATGAAAAGAATTCCAGAAAAAAAATAATGCCTTGAAACAAATGATAGTATTGGCATTGTGCTATTTCACTATTTTAAGTTTTAAACACAAATAAAAGGTTCAAGTGGTCATGTAGAATGACAGAATTAAAGTAACCAGTCCTGTTTCTTTGTATTTAGAATCATCAAGCTATCACTTTTTCAAATTTTTAGTTTAAACACAAGAATCTGTAGTACCACACTGGAGATGTGAATTGTGTCCCAAACAAACTCAGATGATTCCAGTAGGGTATGAACAAATTAAGCACCTGAGATTGCACATATCACAGGCTGGTTGGGTATATGAGCTTCTAGGATTCAGTTGCATGTAGAATGCAATGTTTAATTTTTTTTAAGTTTTTTGAAAAAGAGTCTCACTTTGTCACCCCGACTGGAGTGCAGTGATGCAGTGATGGCTCACTACAGCCTCAACCACCTAGGTCAAGATATCCTCCTGCCGCAGCCCCTGAGCAGCTGGGACTACAGGTGCATGCCACTATGCCCAGCTAACTTTTTTCTTTTTCTTTTTTCTTTTTTTTTTTTTTTTTTAGTAGAGACGAGGTCTTGCTATGTTGCCCAGGTTGGTCTTGAATTCTTGAGCTCAAGCCGTCCTCTGTCCTTGGCCTCCCAAAGTGCTGGGATTACAGGCATGAGCCACTGTGCTAAGCCTGCAAAGTTCAGTAAAAGATAAATAATAAAAATATGCTAAGTTGAAATTTACATATATATTATTAATATTCAGCCATATCTGCAGCAATTGTTTAGATCTTAGACCAAAAGATTTGGAGGAGAGGAAAAAGTACTTTATTCCTAACATTGTTTAGCATGTGCAGCACATAGTAATAAGAAAAAAGCAGAACAATTCTCAGTCAATTTTAACATTAAATCTTTTTATTTTGAAATAATTTTAGATTTACAGGAGAGTTGCAGAAATAGTAGAGAGATTTCCCACGTATCTTTCATCCTGCTTACATAACCATGATACATTTATCAAAACACAGAAATTAACATTGGTACAATATTATTAACCAAACTACAGACCTCATTTGAATTTTACCAGTTTTTCCACTAATATCTTTTTTCTCTTTCAGGGCTAAGCCTAGTACATTGCACTTACAGCTGTATCACTGCTTTAAAATTCTTCACAGTTCCGCAATCCCGCATTGCCTTCCCGGGCGCTGACCACTCCCGGCTCCCTGACTCCACTTGCCTTGATATACCACTGATTCCACTGAACTTTTGTGGTATTGGGGGTAAGAAGATTTAGTGGCCTCAAGTTAGCAATAGTGTATTAAATTTTTAAAAAAATACAAACAAAATAAAAGAAGATCTAATGGCTGTGAAGTCTCATGCTTTGGTGAAAGGAGCTGTTGAGACTGATACAATATATTCAACTGTCAGACCAACATTTGTACTTTGGCTGGCTGGAGATTCTTTAGCCAGATACTCCTTGATGGTGACTGTTAGGTAAATGACATTTACAAGGCTTAAGTGTCTGTCTAGTGCACGGAAATCAGAAAGTAAGGCTTGTTTTAGGCAAATGTGCCACACATCTTGTGAGATAGAGACAAAAATATAACTGGTGAAATGCACTGAAAAAAATTGTGGCTTAGACACTCCAGATGCCTGCTCCACATGAATTCTCCCTTTTTCTTGTCATCAGAATTCTTGTTTTGTTCAGGTAAAAGGTAGCCAGGCTCTTCAAAGGAGGCTGGACTTCTTCGAAGCCTCTCTGAGGATGCATTCTTCATAAAGCTAATCAAATCGCATAAATTCTTCTCACTTTGCCAATGATTGGTTTAGGAATGGGCATGGAAACAATCTGGCCAGTAAGGCATGAGGAGAAGTCTGAGGTTTCTGGGAAAGTTTTCTTCACTCTTCAAAAGTCCCTTTCCTTCTTGTCTGAATTTTGGGTCTTGTTGTTTGAGTTATTCTGTGTTAAAGGATAGAATGCCTGGAGCTGTTGCAGCCACTTTGTAACCATGAGGGGTAAGCTTGTGACAAAAGCAAACAAGTTTCAAAGTGAGAGGATAGTGAGATCCTGGTCTTGGATGCATTACTTATCCCCAGGAATGAACTAACTCTGGACTTCTTGTTATGTGAGAAAATAAATTTTTCACTTTGAGGAAAGGATAGCTACTGGAAATAATTCATCAACACAAAAGCATGCTGTGCTCCATGTAGCTGAGGCTGATGATAGTGGTCATTCTTATACAGGCTACAGCAACAACATCTCTCATTCAATCATGCATTCAACCAGTAACTGATGAGAACGTAAGATGTGAGACTCTTGTGCTTTATGCTGTTAGAATATGACATTATTCCATGAATATGACATTATTCATTCCATGAATATGACATTATTCATGCCATGAATCCTGAAGGATTGCACCATGTAATCAGGGGTAAAACTTACAGACAAACATACTGATTGCAGGACGACCTGGTGTTACCTGAGAGTTCCACACATAAATTGCCATGTTGATGCCACCAGACTAACACCATGAAGCTTAGTGACAGAGGAGGTGCACACTCTTTATCTTGAAAGATGGTTAACACTGAGAGGAGAACAAAAACACAAAGACACAGAGATTGGAAACCACAAGTTCTGTTTTGTAAAGACGGAGTAATCTAATTTAGTTAAGAGTTGAGGCCAATTGCAGTGGCCCATGCCAATAATCCCAGCACTTTGGGAGGCTGAGGCGGGCAGATCCCTTGATGTCAGGAATTCAAGACCAGCCTGGCCAACATGGCGAAAGCCTGTCTCCATTAAAAATACAAAAATTAGCCAGGCATGGTGGCACATGCCTGTAATCCCAGGTACTTCTGAGAGACTTGAACCCAGGAGGCAGAAGTTGCAGTGAGCTGAGATTATGCCACTGCACTCCAGCCTGGGTGACAGTGCAAGGCTCTGTCTCAAGAAAAACAAAAAACAAAAACAGATACAGTCGAATTGTTGGCAGCTATGGCTAGAGAGGTAGAGAGGGACAGGAGGTGGTGTCTGCCTGACCTGATAGTTGTGTGCTTTAGGAAGCCTTGAGTGGGCTGAAGTATGATCCAGCAAAGGGAACCCTGTGCTGACAGCATGACTGGCGGGTCTGAGTCCAGCTTCAGCTACCCACTCATTATGTGGCCCTTCGTCATTCATGTCTCAGAACAGCTACAAGAAAGGGTTGGTAATAACTGTCTTGCCTCCCTCAAGGGTGGACTGGAAAGTGCAATATAAATGTAAGGGCTTATTTCCTCCACATCCAGATATAACTATATTCACTTACTTTTAGGTCCCTGACTCCATCTCAGGACAGTTTTCCCTTTTGTTCCTATTGCTGGAGCCACCCTCCAGTCTCCCCTCTTGGTTTCATCAATGATCTCCTGTATCTCAAGTATTTTCAGTATTTCCCTAACTCTCTCCTGGGTTTTTCTTCTCTGTCTCCAATCTCAAAAATTAAATATAATTTAAAGGTCCTTTTGTAGATCTTCCATAGCACTCCAAACACCATCGATTTATCTTTCTCTCACAAACTATTTTTTAAAAAAATAGACCTTTTTCCCACCTCCTTTTCTCAAATTCTACCTACTGTTAAGCCCACTCCAATGTTCAATTAAGTGGTCTCTAAAAGCCATGACAGCTGAATCTAGGGGTTTCATCTCATTCTTGTCCTGCCTGATTTAACCTGTGCTTAATGAAATTCTTACCTCATGGCTTCTTCTACCCCACCCTTTCCTTTTTCTCATCTTCCCTATTCTGAGTGTCGGGGTTCACTAGGATTCTGCTGACCTCAGACTTTTTCTTATGCTCTCAGGAACACTTACGTTAACCTGATGACTTCAACAGTCCTACTGAAGATGAGCTGAAAATACTTTAGTTGTGATTTTCCCTCCCCAAATCCATTCTAAAAGTTTCCAACCAAGCTGTCAAAGTGTTCCGTGGCTCCTCAACCTCAGTTTGTTCAAAGCGGAGGCCATCTTCTTCTCCTCCCTTAAGTATGCTATTTATCTGTTATTCCAAATAAATTTTTTTTTTTTGAGATGTTGTCTCACTCTGTCACCAGGCTGGAGTGCAACGGTGTGATCTTAGCTCACTGCAACCTCTGCCTCCTGGGTTCAAGTGAGTCGCTTATCTCAGCCTCCCCAGTAGCTGGGACTACAGGCACATGCCACCATGCCCAGCTACTTTTGCATTTTTAGTAGAGACAGGGTTTTACCATGTTGGCCAGGATGGTCTCAATCTCTTGACCTCATGATCCGCCTGCCTCAGCCTCCCACAGTGCTGGGATTACAGGCATGAGCCACTGTACCCAGACAACAAATAAATTTTTTAATGGTCCCACCATCATTTATGTTATCCCAGATGCAAGTTCTGACTCATTCAACTCCCATACATAGTCTTATATTTAGGCAGTCGCCAAACCTAACTAATCTTTGAAATGTTTCTGAAATAGTTCACCTCCCTTTTATTCTTATTGCTACTGTTCTTTGAGAAGTGCTGGCCAGATGCAGTGGATCATACCTGTAATCCCAGCACTTTGGGAGGTACAGGTGAGAGGATCATTTGAGCCCAGGAGTTCAAGACCAGCCTGGGCAACATAGGGAGTCCCTGTCTCTACAAAAAGTAAAAAAAAAAAAAAAAAAAAAGCGATGCATGGTGGTGTGTGCTTACAGTCCCAGCTACTTGGGAAGCTAAGGCAGGAAGATCACTTAAGTCCAGGAGGTTGGGGTTACAGTGAGCCATGATTGCACCACTGCACTCCAGTTTGGGTGACAGAGACCCTATCTTAGAAAAGAGAGAAGTATTCAATTCTTTACTGGACTGTTATAATAGTTTCCAAAGTGGTCTTCCTGTTTAAATTAGCATGGTCTTCCATACTCCTGATGTTCTCTTCTAAAGACAGATCTGGTCATGCTTAAAAACTTTCCATTCCTTCCCATTGTTTGTAGAATCAAGTCACAATTCTTTATTACAGTATGCAAAACCTGCTACAACCCAGCTCCATCTTAACTCTCCAAATTTATCTCAGACTCCTTTCTGCATTCTCTGTCAGTACAATCTGCCAGGTAAAGGTCCAGTCAAATGACCTCCTCCTTATATCCCAGACAGAATTAAGTTACCTTTTCCTTGTACTCAGAGTGTGTCTATTTCAGGTTGTTAGAGTTACCATCATCACACTGAATTGTAATGATGTCTCTGTCTATTCTAAAAGAGTGCAAGCTTTAGCAGTGTGTATTAGCTACCTCTTGCTGTATAACAAATTACAAAAAATTTAGTGGTTTAAAACAGAAAATATTTTTTATCTCCCAGGTGCAGTGGGTCAGGAATTCAGGAGGGGCTTACCTGGCTAGTTCTGTCTCACAGTCTCTCAAGGGGTTGCAGTCAAAAGATCAGCTGGGGCCGACATCATCTTAAGGCTTGACTGGGGCTGGAAAATCTGCTTCCAGGGTGGCACAATCATATACCAGGCAAGTTAATGCTGGTTGCTGGCAGCAGGCCTCAGCCATATGGAGTATTTCCCTGCACAGAACTATGAGTATCTTCACAATGTGGCAGCTGGCTTCCTCCTGAGGGAGTGACCCTAGGGAAAGAATGCAGAAACCCCAAGTGCCTCTTATGGCCTATTCTTGGAAGTCATACACCCTAACCCTAACCCTAACCTTAAGTCCAGCCCACACTCAAGGGGAGGGGAATGAATTGCCTCCTACCGAAGGGAGGAATCTCAAAAAACTAGAGGACAGATACTCATAAGCCATATAATGATGTTCTAGTCAATGATAAACAACATATATGAAAGTTGTTCCATAAGATTGTAATAGAGTTGAAAACTTCTGTCAGCTAGTGATGTCAGAGCCACTGTTACATTGTAGCGCAATGCCTTAACCATGTGTTTCTGGTGATACTGGTGTAAATAAACCTACTGTGCTGCCCCACAGTATAGTATAGTGCCAAAGTGTGGCACAAGGCTGGGTGCAGTGGCCTGTAATCCCAGCACTTTGGGAGGCCAAAATGGGCAGATAACTGAAGGTCAGGAGTTTGAGACTAGCCTGGCCAACATGGTGAAACCCCGTCTCTACTAAAAATATAAAAATTAGCCAGGGGTGCTGGCAGGCACCTGTAACCTCAGCTACTGGGGAGGCTGAGGCAGGAGAACTGCTTGAACCTGGGCGGAAGAGGTTGCAGTAAGCCAAGACGGCACCACTGCACTCCAGCCTGGACAACAGAGAATCTGTCTCAAAAAACAGCGGATCACTTGAGCGCAGGAGTTCAAGACCAGCCTGGCCAACATGGTGAAACCCTGTCTCTACTAAAAAATACAAAAATTAGCCAGGTGTGGTGGCACACACCTGTAGTTCCAGCTATGGGCTGAGGCATGAGAATTGCTTGAACCCAGGAGTTAGAGGTCGCAGTGAGCCAAGATCTCTCCACTGCACTCCTGCCGAGTGACAGACTCTGTCTCAATAATAATAATAGCAGTGGAGATAACTGTTAAATTGAACCATCTGAAACACTAGTATTCCACAGGTTTTACCTATGAAGAAACCAGTTGTACAAACTTCAACCTCAGAGATGAGGCTGCAAGTTGAAAATTTGAACACATCTTCACAGATGGAAAATCGAGGTGCTTCAGAGTTCTTGATCTTTCTGTTCCTCACAAGACTAAGGTTCAACTTTAAGAAGGGTTAGTCATGAAGTGAAATGAGGTCTAGTCCAATCTAGGCATGACTTTTTCATGTCCATGAGAGTCAGGTAAGGGAGTTACAGACCCAATACTGTATGCTAAGTAAGGTGGAGTGTAAATTAAGGAAGTAAAATTTCTCCAGGAACTCCTTCCTGTCTCAATTTACATTTCACCCTGTGCCACTTTTAAGAAATCCTATTTACTTAGAAGTGAAATAACCGTGGACCTAATAAAAAATGGAATAGGAATAGCTCCTTATTCATTATGTATTTCTGTACGTCTAGAAAGTAACTGACTCCTTCATTACTGGTAGGATGAAGTCCAATATTTGCAAAGACAAATTAATTTATTAAAAACACCTTTAGTCCTTCCAGGAGTACTTATAAGACTTAATATTAAATAGAAACTTTCAATGAGAAAGTTCCTTTTTTGCTTTTTCTGTTTATTTTTCTACTTCTTCTGATTAATATTTAAGGTAGACTTTGGGTGAGACGTGTTTAATTAATTAATGATGGTGGGAGGGTCCCAAAAGTTATTAGGGCAAAACTGCATTCATCCACCCTCTCCCCACATTGGAAAGAAAGGTCTCCTCGGGCAGGGTCTTCCGGTCGTTGATCTGCGCATTCATACAACCCGAACCGTACCTAGCTCACTGCGAGTTCTCGATCATTACTTGAGTAATGTCCATTCATTGAACGTCCGTGCAAGGCGCCGTGGCCAGCGAGAAGGCCGGCCCGCGGCCTCCCGGCCTCCCTGCCTCCGCCGCACCCGCGCTGCCCTCAGCCTCCGGGGCCACAGCCCACCGCCCGGGAGCATCCGGCTGCCCGGCCACCGCCGGGACGCTCGCGGCCTCCGGGGCCTGCCCTTCATGGGAGGAAGGCGCGGAGCGAGGAGTGGGAAACCCGGGCCCACTTCCTGTCCGGGCAGGCCCGGCCGCCTGCCTCCTCAGCGGCCTGCTCTCTCCGCCGTGAGCGGCCGAGCCCGGGGCCCGGAAAATGCGGCGGGGCGCTGCGCCCGCGCGGGGCGAAGAGGAAGCCGGCTCCGCTCGCCACCCCCGGCCGCCTCCGTCCGCGCCGCCCGCGCATGCCTCGCGGCGAGAAGGTGAAGCGCGCGGGGGGCGGGGCCGGGCGCGCCGAGTGCGGGCCGCGGGCGGGGCGGAGGCTGCGCTCGGGGGCGGTTCCGGGCGGCGGGGGCGGGGGCAGGCGGAGGAAGGGGGCGGGCCCCGAAGTTGTTCCGCGCTGGGCGGGCGGGCGGCTGTGGGAGAGCGGGCGGCGGGCCGGCGGGCGGACCGGGCCGGGGCTGGAGAAGTTTGCGCTGCGGTTCCTGAGCGCAGGGTGCGGGCCCCGCCGGCCGCTGCGCGCCCGCTGCCATGGCTTTCCGCAGGAGGACGAAAAGTTACCCGCTCTTCAGCCAGGAGTTCGTCATCCACAACCATGCGGACATCGGCTTCTGCCTGGTGCTCTGCGTCCTCATCGGGCTTATGTTCGAGGTGAGAGCCTGGGGAGGAGGGAGCCGGAGGGACAGTGCCCCCTGTCGTGCGCCTCCCCGCACACCCCTGCAGGGCAGCGGGCCCTCGGTCTGATCGCGGGCTCCTGGCTGCCGTGTACGTTATCGGCACCCCGGCTTTGTGCACTGCACCCCGCCGGCCTGTACCCCGGCCAGCCCAGACAGCGCCCCCAGCTCCACGCCGTGCCAGCCATGCCATGCTCTGCCGCCCCCTTGGGCACTCACCGTATCCTGCAGCTCTGTCTGCAGCCCTGAAACCCAAGCCTGGCCTCGAACCAACCGCCGCGCTGCCACCCTGGCCCGACGCGTGGGGTTTCCTTTCTGGCGTCCGGGAGCCAAGCCCAGAGACTCCCAGACCTGCCGTCATTGCACAACCCCCCTTTTCCCAAAGGGTGGCCACTAGCTCTTCTGGGCTTTTCTAGTGGGAGGGACCCTGACCCTTTTCCACTTCCTATCTGATTTTCTGGGTGTTTTGCATCTCAGCTTTGGAACGTGCTCGGATGTTCACGTGTGGCCCTGGCCCCATCCCAGCGGTGGCCTTCCGCGCTCCTCTCGCTCCCACTTTTTTTGCTGTGCTCTAGAAGGCCAGTTTTTGATATCTTTTACCACTCCGTGGACAGTCCCTTTAGATCCAGCTGCAGCGACCCAGAGCTTCACCCCTTTTATAGGGACAAGAAGAGAGACAGACAGGGATACCCTCAACTTTTTGGGGAAAGGTGATTCTCTTAGAGTGTAGGAGTTGTGAGCAGAGGATGGGGATCCCACCCCCAACAGCAATGCCTCGGTGTCGGCCTCTGAGACAGGGAGTTGCAGAAAGCCAGCAAGGGGGCCGGGCGCGGTGGCTCAAGCCTGTAATCCCAGCACTTTGGGAGGCCGAGGCGGGTGGATCACGAGGTTAAGAGATTGAGACCATCCTGGTCAACATGGTGAAACCCCGTCTCTACTAAAAATACAAAAAATTAGCCGGGCGCGGTGGCTCAAGCCTGTAATCCCAGCACTTTGGGAGGCTGAGGCGGGTGGATCACGAGGTCGAGAGATCGAGACCATCCTGGTCAACATGGTGAAACCCCGTCTCTACTAAAAATACAAAAAAAATTAGCTGGGCATGGTGGCGCGTGCCTGTAATCCGAGCTACTCAGGAGGCTGAGGCAGGAGAATTGCCTGAACCCAGGAGGCGGAGGTTGCGGTGAGCCAAGATCGCGCCATTGCACTCCAGCCTGTGTAACAAGAGCGAAACTCCATCTCAAAAAAAAAAAAGAAAGCCAGCAAGGGGTCAGAATCCACGAGACTGATGGGAAGGATTCCCCACTCTTGCAGAGCAAGAAAAATGTGATATTCAAAAGTGGGAAGAACTGGAGGAAGCTTGGCATGGGTTTGCTGCGGTGTATCTTGTCTCAGAAGTGAAATATATGAGCAAAACATTCCCTCACTCTCATAGTGGTCTCCTCTGGTTCCTGAGACTCCTTGTCAACTCCCTTCAGGGTCAGGTTGCTTATCTGCATTCTCACGGTTGGGTTAGGAAACTGTGACCATTTACAAACTTCCTTGGAGATACGGATGCCTAGCCTGGCTAATTTTCCACCCCTGTCCCTCTGTCTCCAGGTTCCCTGTATCTCTAGGAATGACAAGGGCCCTAATTGGCTGGCAATGCTGCCCTCAAGCTGGGGACGTTCTTGTGATGGCCAGATTAGGGTTGGATGAGCGAATATGTCTGTGGCTGGGCTTTAGGGTCTCTAGGAAATAAACAGTGGGACTAGGATTGGGGTCTTCACTCTACTTTTTGGTAGTGCTCTTTTAGTTCAGCCCCTTTCTCCTTTCTCTCCCTCTCACAGTTCTCTCTAGTGGTATACTGGATTGGTCCTTGGTTCCACCTTGTTCTGGGTTCTCCCCTGGAAGTGTGTGGTATCACACAGAGTCATATCCCTGTGTCTCAGTCCCTGTTCTGTGACTAATCTGACTGAAAAACTGACTGCAGCCTCAGTTTCTCCATCTCTAAAGACGTTCATAAAACTGGTCTTCCTCACAGAGTGATTGTAAGGTTTAACTGAGATCATGTCAGCAACAAAAGCCGTAACATCTCCTACAAACATGAAAAAGTCTCTTGCGCCTGGAGCCCTATGATTAATTATTATAATAATAGCTTAACGAAATTAGAGAATTTCTCTAGCCCAGCACATTCTCTCCTGTCTGTTTGCTGTCCTCCATTCTAAGAGGCCTCCAAGTGCGTGTCCCCAGCCTTGGAGGGTGTGGCTGGAAAGATACACGTGACAGCTGTAAACCTCAAAGCCACAGGCTCTGCAGCGGCCAAGTTTCTCGCATAGCCTGTGGCTCTCTCTGTCGTATTTCTAGCATTCGTTAGGGTTTGTGGCCTTACCTGCTTTGTCTTTGCTCAGAAAGAGCTGCCAGCATTTGAGTTTGGTACCTACCTCCTTCCCCTGGTCTCTAGTCTTGTGGGAAGTCCTGTGTATTAAATCTGCCACTCTAAAGTTGAAAAGTGCTAAGAACTTTTACTTCCAGTACCTGGTGAAAGAGAAAGGCCCAAGATGAGAAAAATAACAAACAAAACTACTCTTATCCCGCCCGTCTCCGCCACCCCCATTCCTCCCACCTTCACTGCCCTTAGACTTGGATTGGGGAGTATAGTAAGGTCCTTGGTTGAAATGCCTACAGACCCCCTTTTCCTACCATCCCTATCACTTCTTCCCATAGCACCTTGAACCTACAGGACCTACAGGGCAGGTATGTCCTTTTGGAGTTACTTTGTGAGATCATCAGTCTGTGCTTTTCTGGGAGAAAGATGGCTTTGCCTCAAGCCTCCAGTAAGAAGGTCTTAGTGTTCTTCTGTGCTGGGAACAAGGAAGGGGCTCACTGCCTTTACCTACCAACTAACTTTCCACAGAGATAAGTATTCCTGGGGGTGGGAAGGGGGACTTTGTAATTGCTGCCTCTATCAAATGAGAGCAGAAGCATCCTGGATACTGTAGGGACCACAGAGAAACAAATGCGGGTATCTTCACACTCAGAGCAAAGCAGGGGGAGGCGCCTCATAACCCAACAGAGGACTGGCTGGATATCACTTAGGATCTTCTGGATTTTCCTCTGAAGTGTGTGGTATGCATGTGTGGGTATGCGTGGATGCATATGGTGGGATGGTGGGTGCAACTGGGGACTCGCCACCCTTTTCCCAGAAGTGATGACAGGAAGAGGTGCAAGGGGAATGGGAGGCGGGGGTGAGAGGACATAGGGTCTTGGGGTTCTGACTTGGCCCCAGCTGGGATTCCTTCATTCAGAACCTGAGCCAGGAAAACTCAGTTATAATTCTTCCCACAGAGCGACTCTCCTGGCCACTCCTCCCTCTGGGGTCCTCTGCCCTGCCGCTGCCAGTGAGCTGGGTCCCTCTCCCCCTACCAGCCCACGCCCCGGGCAGCCACAGCCCTTGCGTCTGCATTGCCTCCCTGCCTTGCTCTTTCCCCAACTCACTGGTCACCTCTTCTGCATTAGGGGGCTTCTGTTTCCCTCTCAGGGACCCCAGGTCTTTAGTTGTCTGTCTCCAGGAGGACGATGACTCTAAATTATTTCCCTCGGGATCATTTCCTTTTGGGAACACACATGAAAGGCTGTCCCTTCCCTCACCGCCCACCCCTATCGCTATCCCAAATTTGGTTTAGTTTTGGGCCATCCTGTTTCCAAGGCAGGGGCCAGCTACTAAATCACCCTGCACCCAGGTTTTCTCCCAGTCCTGCAGGCTGCTTGGAATAGAGAAGCTGCTCTGTGCGGCCACAGCACTTGGCTAAAAAATGTCAGGAATGTGGAACTTTATTTTCCCCCTCCTTCCTTTCCACCGTCAAGTCTGCTTTCAGGAGAGGTGGCACAAGGGGGAGTTTTCTACTCCACTCTTTGGTCCTTCTGTCCTGTCGTAGGTGGAGTCCGGCCTGACCATCAACCAGGGTGTAGACAGTCGGTTGGGGGGTATGTGTGTCAGATTTGAAAGTAGCCTCCTCCCCCTCCCTTCTCTTCCCCTTCCAGTGTCCTGGTCTGTGCCACGTTTCAAATTGAAACAGGCAGGGGAAGAGGAAAAGTCTTTCATTAGCGAATGGAGAATGAGGAAAAAGGGGGTGCACCAAAGAGAGAGGAAGCAATTTATATACTACCTTTAAAATGTCATTTCAAGACTGAAACTTTTTTTTAAAAGCTCATTTGCAGGCTCTGGCAGCTGCAAGGAAATGTTTCTACAATTCTGAGCCTGTCATTTTAAGTTTGGTTTCTTTTCGGTCTGTGATGACTTAAAGGTTTAGGGACCCAGAGGAGTTCTTGATGGTGGCTGGGTTTTGCTTTCTAGTCGTTTTGGAGGCAGATTTGGCAGATTTACCTTTTCTCCAGGAACCACCTTCTTCCCTGCTCCCGACACTGTGATTGACTTGTCAGGGTGAAATGTTTGCAGCATTTACAATGGGAGCCCATTATGTCACCACCTGCTAGGACATGGCTTCCATGGCACTGGTTCACATCCTCTCAGACATACCTGTAGGCATCATAACTTGAAATGCAGCTGCAGGTCCTATCTCTGAATGTTAGCAGCATCATAAAACAATTCTGCTTCTATTGTGTTAATAGAAAGATGTATGTAAATGGCACACTATACATCTGTGGACATGGGTCATCGTTCTTTGATTAACTTTTTTTTTTTTTTTTTTTTTTGAGATGGAGTTTTGCCCTGTAGCCCAGGCTGGATGGAGTGCAATGGTGCAATATCAGCTCATTGCAACCTCCGTCTCCCAGGTTCCAACAGTTCTGCCTCAGCCTCCTGAGTAACTGGAATTACAGGCGCCTGCCACCACACCCAGCTAATTTTTGTATTTTTAGTAGAGATGGGGTTTCACCATGTTGGCCAGACTGGTCTCAAACTCTCAACCTCATGATCTGCCCGCCTTGGCCTCCCAAAGTGCTGGGATTACAGGCATGAGCCACTGCGCCCAGCCTCTT